GCCTCTGCGCCGTGGGCGCGTGAGCGCAGCGCCCGCGCGGCCAGGGCACCGCCGTGGACCTGCGCGCCGCGGGCACGATCGGCTTCCCCGCGACTCGGAAGGGCGGTAAGTGCGTTTCTCACTTTCGCTACTTTGTATTTAAATATTAATGAAGGGATCTCCAAGAGGGGCCCTTCTGCGGGGCAGGCCTTTCCAAGTCTCGGGGCACCGAAGGAGGTTGTCTGGGAACCCGAAGCCGCGCCAGCATGCAAGAACTCCGGGGTCGTCGTCAATCTGGAACTTGTGAAATACTACAGCTTCGCGGGCTCAGGTGTGCAGACTGCTAGCCAGAGAGGAATTTGTTAATTACGAAAAATAAGCTCTAGCAGGCATCTTAAACAATAGAGGAAATATCTGTATGCGGGTTAGATGTGTTTGGGAAGGTTATTTAGAGCCACAGCCCTTGAAAAATTGAACTATTTGATTTACCTTTCATTTACGTCCTAAATGGTCCTCCTTCTTTTCCTCCTCCTCCTCCTCCTTCTTCTCCTTCTGTTTTTCTCCTCTACCTCCTTCTTTTTGTTTTTCCTGCTGGTGGGGCAGTCCCGAGAGCCATTTAGGGGGAAGCCCTTGGTCCAGTGTTAGCGGCAGTGGGCTGTGGACCAAAGGGCCTAGCGTGCAAGCCGTTGTTTATGGTAACATAAAACGAAAAAAACTCATAACTTTTCATAATAAATGCCCCTTTATAGGTGGCTTGAGCACAGGCCTGGCCAGCCACCCTGGGGAGATTGTGGGGAGCAAGGAAGGGATGAAGGAATGCTCGCTTGCCCTAATTATAGGGTTTTAAGGGAACGCTGAAATTAATTTCTTCAAAGTTGGGTTTCAAAAGCTGAGGCAGTCTCCGCAGGCCAGCGATAGTTTCATTTTATTTTAGTTCATCAGTTCTGGCTATTTAGGGTTTTCAAAATGTGTGCACCTACCCTGGGTTAAAATGAAACCCATAGCTTATGGAGATAAGCCTGCTAATTTTTAATACTACTGCACCATAGGTGCGATTTCCCCTCTGCTCATCCCACCCTGTTGATGTGGTCTGGTTAACCTGGCTGGGTGCTTTCACCGGAGCCACGGGGTGGGGACCCCTTTCCGTAACACCCCAGAGTCCTGAGCCAGCGCTGGGGGTGTGCAGAGAGGGCCAGAGTCGACTGGCCTTCCTCTGGCTGCTCTCTTAGGCAAGACCCCCAAGGGATGACCGCCAAAAGAGGCCATTTCCTAGGGGTCTGGCCAGCAGTGGCAGAGGCCAGAAGTTTGTTTCCATCCTCGAAGGGCTGACCCTGGCAGTCTTCTTGCTAGCCTGCTTTCCCCTGGCCTCCCTCCACACCGTTTTGAATTTTTAGTTATGACTTTATCAGAGGCAGCTGGCAGACACGCAGGGTGGGACCTTCAGAGGTGATCTCAGAAGCAGAGGTGCCACCGCTGCAGGCCTGCCAGTCTGGCCGGAGCTGCTGCTTGGCATCGTGCTGGCAGCGGTGAGATTAGTCCTACAAAGCTCAGGTTCCAGCATGGCCTCGCCTGCAGAATGCTGGAGCTTTCTACCCTGGTCCACAGGAAGCCAGTGCCGTGGTGCTTGCCGAGCAGCAGTGGTGTGGTGTCCAGCTGAGGCCGTTGGGCATTGCTCAGGATTAATACAGACCATAAGACGAGGGGCACCGTCTCTCCTCCCCAGGCCAATGGGCTTCTCTCAAGGCAAGCAGCAAAGCTGGGCACCTTAGGAGGCGGGTGGCTCCAGGGGACCTCAGAGTGAGGTCATTTTTCATCAGAGCTGCCACAGAACGTCCCCAGGTCCACAGAAGGGGACAGGCTGAGGCTTCCGTGCGCAGTATGCCTGGCTGGGGGCATCTTACCCTGCCGGAGTATCCTCTCTCCACATTTATTTTGAGGACACACACCCACAAAAGAGGAGGCCCAAGAAATGAAAGTGGTGCTTGTCTGATTTTTCTCACGGCCGGGTTTTATGTAAGGAACAGGGGTGCGCAGGAATAGGCTGCCGTGGGGGCTGGTGGGAGGACGGACCTCGGCTTTTGTGTTAAACCAGGGTCAAGCCCAGGGTGCCCCATGCCTGTGCCAGGCCCTCGCCGTGCAGCAGACCTGCTTGGGTGAGGGGTTACCGTCCCTGGCAAGGGCCCAGCTAGGCTCAGCCGTGAGGCCCACCGGTGGCTCCGCTGTGCCTGGGTCTCATGCCTGCCGCCCAAGCAGGTGCAACCAGCCGTTGGCTTTGCCCAGCAGGGCCGGTACGGGGCTCTGCAGCGGGGTTGCTTTCCCTCCGTGTGGTTTGCAGCTGGCCGGGCTGCCCCTCTGTAAACTCCTTGCTCTGGCCCTGGAACCTGTCCCAGCCCAGCATGGATGAGGTCATACTAGGAGGCAGTGGAGAGGGTTTGGGAGGGCTTTGCCCACCCAGATGGGCACCAGCCAGGCAGGTGTGCCCGTCTGTCCAGCAGAGCCTCTTGTGTACCTAGCGAGGGATGATGTTTAGGAAGGAAAGGACGAGAAGCTGCCGCTGCTCGTCTTGCCATGGCTGGGTTTTGAAGGTGCATTTGCACGTTAGGGGTAGGAAGAGGACGTGCAGACGTCTCAGCAAGCAGGCGCGTCCACACTCACAGCGGAGCCTGGAGCCGGAGCACCCCAACTCCCCAGCTCCCTGAGCTCAAGTCTGTCCCTGCCGCTGGCTCAATGTGTAACCCTGGGCGCGTCCTGGCACCTCCAATAGCCAGCAGTCCCCTGAGCTCTAAGCAGGACCACGGACACCAACATTATTCAGGCAGCGTTATCTCCATACGACGCCTGGCACATGGTCTGGGGGCATTAAATGGCTGCTGTTCTGGTCCTTGTTATAAATAACAATGACTCCAGTTACTAATATATTTTGTTTATTGTTACTACTTATAATTATTTCGTGTATGGTATTATATTCTGAGAAACAGAGATCCCAGTTTTGGTTTCCCCGGCAAGGGCAGCAAGTTGTTTACATCCCTGCCCTGCAGGTGGTGGCAGATGTGGACCTGGTGGATTTGAGGGGTAGACAGGCAGGGGTGGACTTACCACGACCGCGCTTTCTTCCTCCTGGGACCTCACTGCGAACGTGACTGTCTGGATACACCTCAGACCTCCCCGGAGGTATGGGACATGGGACAGGGTCCCCTTGGGACCCAGATATGCAGATGGCAGAGGGGCCTCCTCCCTGAGGGTGGCCTTCAGGGGGTCCTGCGCATGCCGGTCCTGGGTCCAACCTTCACTCCCCTGCAAGGTCCAGAGTGGCTACACCAGCTGCCATCGTCCCTGCTGGGCATGCAGGTGGCACTTTATGGGAGAGCTTTGCCACCCTGGTGAGCTGATTGTTCCTTGGCCTGGTAGAAGAGGAGGACATTTACCAAACGGCTGGCTTTGGAGGATTTTATCTCT